GCGCCGCGGCAAGCCCGCCGGGAGGGCTACTTCTTGTCGGCCGGCGCGCCTCCGGCCCCCCCGGCTGGCCCCTGCTCCGCGTCGGCCGGCTGCTGGTGCGGCGTGAAGGTAGCCAACACCGGATACCCCGGGACGTCCATGTTCCAGTGCTGCCCTGCCGAGCGGGACGCACGCGCGCGCGCACACAGATGGGCACATGTGTGAGTGTGGGCGTGTGATTGGGCAATCGGGGCAGCTGGCGCCGGGCGACGCAATGGGAGGAGCAAGAGCAGCAGCAAGAAGAACGGCAAGAAGAACGGCAAGAAGAACGGAAAGGAGGCATGAGCCACGCACGAAGCGGCCGCAGGACGTCCTTGGCCGTCAGGGTGAGGCTGCCCCGATGGCGAGCCAGCCGACAGGACTGCGTGATCACCTGCACCAGGAAATCCTCGGCCAGCGACCCGAGGGCCTCCTCCACAACGCGATCCAGCGTGGCATTCGGATGTGCCGACTGGACGATCTCCTGGAGCTTGGTCTTAGAAATGAGGGCCTACGTGCGGTGCCGCGGTACGCACAGGCGTGGGGGGTGTGCCGAGGGCGCCCCCCACCACCACCCCCGCGGCAGGGACAAACACAGGGAGACCAGGTGAGTCGTCAGGACGGGCCGCCAAAAGGGACGCAACAAAGCCCCACGCCAACAAAAAGAAGGCGCCGGATGCACGTACACGAGGGGCCGGCCGGGGGACCTGCCCGGCAGCGGGCCGCGGGACACCGGCCGCCACCGACGGCTGGTAGGCGCCGGGCTGGGCGCCGGCCGTCGCCGCCGCTGCCGCAGTGCCGGCGGGGGTTGCCGCCGTGGCCGCGGGGGGGGCCGCTCGGGAAGCGGCGGCCGCCGCAGCGGCAGCGGCAGCGGCAACCGCCGCCGCAGTGGCCGCCGCCGCCGCCGCCGCCGCCGCCGCCGGATTTGGGGACGTCGGGGCCCCGGGGCCGGGCTGTGCACCGACGTGCGCCCCGGCGGCGGCGGCGGCTGCCGCCGGTGCGGCCGGTCGCGACGCCGCCAGCGCCTGAATCCCATGCCCGGCGGAGTAGGCCACCGAGATGACACCGCCCGGGCTGTAGTTGGCCACCACCAGCGGATGGCTGACGGCCAGGTCCACGCCGAAGCACCGGTGCCCCAGCCCCACCAGGAAGGCCTGGTACTGGTGCAGCTTCTCCACATACAGGGCCGGCATCTGGGAGCTGGCCGGGAACACGGGCCCGGTGGGGAGGGCCGGCCACAGGGCCCCATGCACCATCTTCGGCAGGGGCGGCGACAGTTGGATGAGCTGGTCCGTCTGGCTGAGCTGTGACCCGTCATGCCGGCGGGGCAGCGGGCGAGGAAAGCCAGGGGAGCAGGGGGGGGGAGCGGAGAGAGAGAGAGAGAGAGAGAGAGAGACATGCGACTATGTCAGAGGAAGAGGCCAGGGACCGGCAACCTGGAGGGGGAGGGAGGGGGGAAGAGGAGGGCCCCCGCAGGGGTGCGTGCTGCCCGGCACAAGGCCGACGACGGCGCGACGCCATGCCCACACGGGTGCATGTGCCGGGGGCCGGCGCGTACGGCGCCCCGCTGGAGAGTGCCGGCGTGCAAGGAGCTGCGCTTCGCTCCAACAATCGCGGCTCGCTCTTTGCCCGGCGCCTGCTCCTGCCGGAGGTCGTGCGCACTCCGCCCATGGGACAGGAGAGAGAGGGAGATACCCGGGCCCTGCCATGGTGGGGGCCGTGTGGCCTGGAGAAGATGCTTCCCAAGGGCCAGATGTCCCACAAATGCGCAAGGCACATCCTGACAGACAACAGCACAGACAACGGCACAGACAACGGCACAGGCAACGGCACACGCGACGTACCGCCTGACGAATGCGGGCCACATTGGCCCTCTCCTCTTCGGAGATGGCCACCGGCGTGGGGGAGGATGAAGACGTTCGGTCGGTGATGTCATTGATCATGGTGACCAGCTGGTTGCGCAGCGACACCATCAAGGCCAGCTGCCGGGTGCCCGCGCGGCGAAGGGCGTGTGAGTAGCGGCCCCCTGGCCGGCGGTCGAATGCAAACACATGGCGCACCTTGGACATGTACTGCTCCGCATCGGCGGGTGGCAGCTCCTGGCGGTCAACCATGACGGCGGATGGGCGAGGGCGGAGGGGGGAGCGGGCGGGCGGGCGGGCGCAAGTGTGGGGTGCTGTTGACAAAGGAGAGGAGGGAGCAGGAGGGAGCAGGAGGGGGGGAGGAGGGGAGGAGGGGACTGGGCATGGCTCCAGTCCGGAGAGCACTTGGCCCCGGCGGGGGCGCATTTCTGCCCCCGGGCTGCGCGGCCCTGTTGCCCCCGCCCCGGCAAGCGCGCAGGAACGCGCGCGCGCGCGCACACGCGCGAGATCCGACCCCGGAGGGCGCCGCAGCGATCGTGCCAGGAGCGGCTTTCGCCGTTCGCCGGGACCTCCGACCAGCCCATACATTGGCATCTCCCGATCGCCCGGCACGCTCCACGGCCGCCGGTCTAGCGCGCAAAGGCCCCGGGACGAGGCACACCGCAAAGTGCCCCCCCCCCCCCTCGGCCGTCCAAGAAAAAAAAATGAATGAAGGAGAGAACGAGAATGCATTTGGTGGGATCCCTTCAGATGTGGGGAGAGGGGATGCGCGTGCACGCGGCGCGGTGCGCAGAGACAACAAGAGGCGAAATGTGGTGCACGGGGGGGGGGGGGGGGGGAAAGGACGGGGGCCCGATCACGCTCGGGCGGGAGGCCCGAGCTTCAACTCACCGCCGCCACTGCAGCCGCTGTCCCCGGCACACAGACACACAGACACACACACACATGTATACATATGCCCACATACACAGCGCATGTGCTGGCGCGGCCCGCCGGGCGACTAGTAGTCCAGGAAGGCACGGCCCAGGACGCGGTACGCCTCGAAGGTCTCAATGACCGAAGGGCGGATCTGGGCCGGGGGCAGCTCGAACCCGTGGCGGCCGACATCGCGGCCCTCGATGGCATACGAGAAGGGGATGTCCAGGTTGTAGTAGGTGTGGTCCACGGACCCGCCACTGGCCTGGTAGATGATCCGGCAGATGGTGCCGGCCTTGTAGACGGTCTGGAAGCCAGCCTGGTAGATGGCGTCCGCGCAGGCGGTGCCGACGGCCTCGAGCAGGTCATGCTCCGGGGTCACCTCGGAGCAGGTGAAGCCAGGGGGATACATCCACAGCTGGCTGTAGGCGTGCTGGTCGATGAAGGACAGGACATGGACGCCGGTGCGCTGCAGGGCCATCAGGTAGTTGTTCATGTTGCGCGACTCGTGCGCCGAGAAGGCCCCGGTGCCGTGGTACGCGTCGGAGCAGGGCTGCGGCGACGACCCGCCGGTGTTCCAGTTCTTGCCCCAGTTGCGGTTGATGTCGGTGCCGACGCAGACGGAGCCCTTGTTGGGGACGCGGTTCTTGCGCCAGAGCCGGCTGCAGCCCGGCCGCCGATGGGTCGGAGGGGGAGCGGGGGGAGCGGGGGGTCAGGATTTGCCAACGGCGCACATGATGGCGCCAGGCCGCCGATGGGCGTAAGGAGGGGGGGGGGGATGGCCGAGACAGGCGCGCATGCGATGACCGGAGAGACATGGCGGTGGGGAGGAGCAGAGAGGAAGCGCGGGATGGGGGGCGCAAGGGAAAGGCAGGTGCACGTACTCGCTGGTCCAGGAGTGGTCATAGCCGTCCGGGTTGAAGACAGGGAAGAAGTGCCAGTCAATCTGGGACAGGGAGGGGGGGGGGAAGCAGGCGAGGCGAGCACGGAGGCGGCGACCGGGTCAGCTCGGTGTCTGCGCGTGCGCGCGCGCGCGCGCTCAGGAGGGGGGGGGGCAGCAAGAGGAAAGGCGGACGGTGGGCGCAACGCACCTTGCTCAGGTATTCCAGGATCTCCTGGTCGCCGGCGGCCGCGCGCTCCAGGAAGGTCTGCAGGACACCCTGCACGGTGGGGATGGTGACCCACTCGCTGGGAGGGGGCGGAGGGGGCACCCGAAGGAGGAGGAAAAAGCACACGTCAGCCGAGAGGCATGCCAGCCGAAAGCACCCCCGCACCCGGGCCGAAAGAGTGGCGGCCAGCAGCGAAGGGGGGGGGGGGGGAACATACCGAGCGTGCTCGCCGCCGATGATGACGGCCGCCTTGCGCGGGGTCGCGCCGCGGACCTTGATCCGGACGCCGGCCTGGTCATTGCCGAGGTAGGTGCGCCCGGCGCTGACGCGCTCCACGCTGACGAGACCCCCGGCGGGGTAGGCGGCCTCCAGGTCGTCCAGCCAGGCGTACGTCTCGTTCAGGCTGTGGTACGCGTCGTACCAGGGGTCGTTGTCGACGCCGAGGCCGAAGCGCTCGATGCCGACCTGCTGCAGGGTGGCGAAGGACTCGAAGCGCGCGCGGTCATTCTCCACCCGCGCGGCCTCGATCATCTGCGCGGCGTCGGCGTGGCCGCCGAGGACGTTGGCACGCAGCGACAGCCGGCGGAAGGGCACCAGCGAGTCGGCCGGGACCAGGACGTTGATCTCTCCGGGGACGGCGATCGACCCCATCAGGTCCAGGTGGAGGGCCTGGCGTGTGTGCGAGTGCGAGTGTGTGTGTGTGAGAGAGAGAGAGAGAGAGAGGGAGAGAGAGAGGGAGAGAGAGAGAGAGAAAGCATGCGCATAGGCACGAGGGTGGCGGGGCAGATCAGGGGGGCAGACGCACCTCGGCCGCCTCGGCGAGAGCCGCGGCGTCGCGCTGCGACTGCACATGCACGCGGTAGAACCGCGACCCGGTGTGCGAGCGGATCGGCTCGGCGGGGTGCAGGCGCTCGGGGCCGGCGTAGGCGGGCAGGCCGTCCGGCATGCCGGTGTAGTCGGCCGGCAGGTCGACCTCATAGCGGTCGGTGGCGGCGGCAGCGGCGCCCGGCGAGGCGAAGCCCAGCAGGGAGGCCGCCAGCAGGGCGAAGCCCACCTTGAGAGTGACACCCAGAGCCATGGCGGATCCGGGAGGGAGGGGGGAGGGGGATGGCTGCTTGGAGGGGAGGAGGGTCCAGCAGACAGGGGGGAGGGGGTGCCCACCGGTTGGATGCTGCGGCCGGTGGGCTGGCGCCCTTTGGGGGGGGGGGGGAGGCGGATGCCTGGGCGACGCGGGGGGACGGATCCCTGGGGACCGAAAGAGAGAGACAGAGAGAGAACAATAACAAAGCTGCGGCGCTCCCTTCGCGGTGCCGGCCCGCCCCCCGGGGCGGGGGGGCCGCCTGCTCGGCCCGATCGTCGGCCGTGACTGGACGGGCAAGCGCCGCCGCCGGGCGCCAACAGCGCTGGCAGGACGCCCGGGGGGCCCCGTACAAGGGCGCGCCCGTGCCGGTGTCCCTGGGGGGGGGGGGGGGCGGCACCCGCAGGGCAGTGGGTCCCCCTGCCGCTGCGCCCCCCCTCCCTCCGGCCACCTGGCGCGCCCGGGGGGCCTCCTGACCGCGCCGGGGGGGGGGGCCGCCGGATTCATCCCGCGGCTCCGGCCCGAAAGCGGTTCTCCCTGTGTGGTCCGTTCCGCGGCGGCTGCCCCCTGGCGGTGGTCTGTTTGTGCGCGGGCCTGGGCGCGCCCGGTGCGCGGGCCCGGGAATAGCCCCAATAGATATGGGTGTCAATATAAAAAAGTGCGCGTCGCCGGCGGGGATACCGGGGGATAGGGGGTGGCGTGCGAAGCCAGACGTGTGCGGGTGTCGGTGCGTGCGATAGCTGGGCGCGGGTATGTGTGCACACCGTGGGAGCTTGCATGCGGGTGCGCGGGGCGTCCGCACACGCGCGCGCGCGCGCGCGCGCACCGAGCCCCATACCCGGCGGCGCGCACATGCGCGGTCACGCTTGCGTGAGCGGCGCGTGCGCCCGGGCCGCCCGGCGCACGGCTGGTGCCCGCCTGCCGGGTTACATCCGCAAGCCCCGGGGGCACCGCCTCCCCGAGCCGAAGAAGCCCCCGGGTCCCCCGCGAAGCAGGGGAGGGGGGCGGCGGGCCCTCCGTGCGCGCGCGCTCGCCCCTGCAATGGACCCGGCGTTAAGCCGGTGCGGGCGCCAAGCGCGCGTGGCCCCTCGCCGGATGGCGCCGACGGTGCATGGCCCGGCCTGGCCGCTCCCCCCTCCCCGGGGACACACCTCACCACCGGGGCCGGGCCCCAGTGCGCCCCCCGGTGCCGGGCGTGCCTGGCGACGCCGGCCGGCCGCCCAGGCCCGCGAGACCGGACGAGACGCCCCGGCGGTCGGCCGGCAGGCGACACGGTTTTGTGCTGCACGCCAGCGTTTCCGTCCCTCCCCCCCCCCTGCGCTGGTCAGTTCGTGCGTGTGTGTGTGTGGGCGCCTCGGCGCCGGCGGCCCGTCCTCCACAGGCGGCCCGGAGGTGTGTCAGCCTGCGGCGCGCCGGCCGCCGGCACCATGGCATGTGGGCCTCCCCCGGGCACCGGGCACCGGCGCCATGACGACACCGCCCCGCCACTTTTGACCGAAGCAGCAAGAGTGCACGCCGGCGGCGCCCTCCGCCCCGCCTCCTCAAAATAACATGCGCCTGCATTCACGGGCACACAAGCGCGCACGCACGCGCGCGTCCCCGCATCCAAGCACGCGCCGCCGGGCGCGCGCGCCCCACGGGGGGCGGGGGGAGACGCTGCGGGGCGGGGGGCGCTCAGACGCGCAAGCCTATTTTCCCCCCACGCCTCTCCCGGTCCGCCCCGATATTCTATGCCTCTCTCCCGGCTGGCGGGCCTACTCGGCCAGCTCGCCTGGCGCCCCGCGATAGGCGCGCCAGGCCGACTGACGCACGCCCGAGGCACACACGCGCGGGCCGCGGCCCGGCACCACCGCGCCCCCTCAGGCCGCAATTCTCGGCCCAAGGTTGGGCCAGGCGGACGGGCGCGCGGGCGCACGCGCACGCACCGCCCGCGCATGCCCGCGCATGCCCGCGACGCTTCCCCCCCCCGCCGGTCGCCGGGCCCGCCGGAGGCGGAGATACCCCGCGGCCGCCGGCTCCCCTCCCCGCCTCGCACAGAGCCCCCACGGGGGCCGGTGAATCAGCGCGGTCGCAGGGCAGCTGCCCACGGTTAAGGGAGGATCACGGGCCCCAGGCGCCGACGATCCGGCCGGCCGGCTGACCAGGGCACCGGATCGGGGTTTGTTTTTTAATACGCCCGCCCCGGCCCCC